TAGTTTTCAATTTTTTTTTGACTACAGAAAAATACTATGGCAATTCTTTTGTTACAAAGAACTGAGAATGCTTTTAACACTGGATTCCTGTTTGAAACCTCTGGGTTTATGTTGCGAATTGTGTGCAGTTGTTTGCACACCTCACAGTGCTAATATTGTCCAGCACCCTGTGGGACCCTTTAAAGGATCTCCCAGGCCCATAGGATGCTGCAGCAGTTTGGCTGAGAATCACTGTTCTCAGACCTCATGGGTCAGCCAGCTGCATTTCCCCTGCCTCATACTCCTCCGTTTCTGTCTCCCCAGGAACGTCTCCAAAATCTCTGGGAGGTGTATCAGAGACTAGGACTAGAAGATGATATTGTTGATCCTTCCAATGAGCTCATTAAAGAGGGGCCCATCCAAAAAATCTCCTTCCGTAATAACACCACGTCGGACAAGTATCTCTTCCTGGTGAGAAGATGGTGGATGCACCAGGCAGGGAAGGCTGGGGTGGCTGGAAGGAGATGAATAGGGCATTATGTACTGAGAAGCAGCAGGTTGTTCCTGGAGCGTCAAAAGGGGAGGACAGAAACAGTGGGGTGAAAGAAAGCCCTGGTGTCTTAGCAGAGCTCACTAGCTAGCTGGGCGGGAGACAGTCTTGTGTTCCCAGGGCCACAGTCCCTGCATTGCCTTTGACACTGGTGGAACATGGGTGCATGGAGCATTCTGGTCTGTGTGAGCATTTAACATCCAGGATGTCCCCATGTAAGGTGCTAGAAGGGGAGGCAGGAGAACTAGCCCCCTTGTTTCCAGAGTACATTATCTCTGGGTAACCCTTGGGTCACTGTGGTTGCCACCAGTTTTCTTGCTAAGGAAATAATTTGGAAATCCTTTGTCTTTGTTGCAAGTGGGAAGGGTAGAAAGGGATCAGCTATACAGGTGGAATATTTTCAGAGGAGCCTAAGGGCATTTGGCCCTCATTCACCCTTTGTTCTCAGTGGGATTTGGGGATCTGTAGGAAATCTCAGCTTTGGTACCAATAGGTCCAGAGCCCATGCTGCTAAGCTCAGGTTCGTAGGACACATGCTTTGGGATAGCTCCTGTCCATGGCCAGCATGCCTGGGCTGTGTTTCCTATCCTGCTGCTCACACTGGCTTCCTCTCACTCAGTTCAACAACATGTTGCTGTACTGCGTGCAGAAGGTCATCCAGGTTGGGGCTGAATTCCAGGTACACGTGCGGCTCGACGTGGACGGCATGAAGGTCAGAGAACGCCCGTGTTCCCTGCTGTTACTTAGGTTTGTGCTGGGAGCATCTGTTCCCCACAGTGGGTTTCACTCAGCATCACAAATGCAGCCACTTCTGGGGTGGAATGCAGCTGCTGCTCGGCTGGACACAGCAACACTGCATGGCAGGTTAGGACAAGAAGAGAAGAAGGAGGCTGTGTTCAGTGGAAACTGGGAAGAGTTTTAGGGAGGTGGAATGAGAAAGGGCCTGGGCCAAAGGTCTGATGCACTGACTCATGTGATGACTGCCTGGGGAGATGGTCAGAGCTCGGAGTCGACGTCTCACCCCAAAAACGGCACCTTCAGCTGCGCAAGGGACTAGGGAAGGCCATAGGAGAGGGCAGAGCGCCATCTACTGACCCACTGAGGGTAGAGGTGTTTCCTCTTTCCAGTCTGTTCAGTTGTTGAGTAAACCTGACCCCACTTAGCCTAGTATCAGAGCTAGAGTTGTCCTGTGAAACCCAGGCACCGACATCCATGGCGGGGCACAGGTCATACGTCCCAGTAGAGCTCCCTGTACTTATCCCTTGTTACACACAGCAGCCAGGATGGATTATTTTTCCCAGCATGTGGTCTCCTAGAGGCTTGTTACAGCTCAGGCTCAGGCTTGTTTCCCTCTCTGGGTTTCCAGATCCGGGCACTGAACGATGCAGAATTCCCCCACACCTTTCTGGTCTCTGGGAAGCAGCGGACGCTGGAATTGCAAGCCAGGTGAGGAGGCGAGTTGTCCCCTCCTCTCCAGCTCCAACAGAGTAGCTCAATGCCTGTTCTCTAATGCCTGTGTCCCCACTCTGCATAGGTCACAAGAGGAGATGAATGCCTGGATAAAGGTACGGCAAGCCATAGGCTTTTTGAACATAGCTTGCAGGAACCATGGAGCGAGGGGTGGATCTGTGACCTGGAGTTTTCCAGTGTTGGCCCAGAAGGCATTCCAACCCCCCGGTGCAGTGGGAAGGGCCAGTCCACAGCAGCAGGGCAGTGTCTGAGGTCTTGGTCCAAGTTGGTCTCTGGGCCAGCAGAAGTGGCTGCGGGTTAAGGACCCACTTGCGCTGACTGCTCCTTTGTGTCCACAAGGTGCTGTGGCTTGCTGGTGTCACATAGTGTGAGCAGGAGTCTGTAGCGCATACATGTAGCGCAGGTCCCTGCTACAAGGTCTGTGTAGCCAGGTGGACAAGGCTGAGGACACAGTATGTGTCTGTGGCTCCTTGGCGTTATAGCCTCCGGGCCAGAAACAGAGGCAGAATTCATGGCTTTGCAGGGAACTAGACTGCAACCAGCCACTAAAGGCCAGGAGCTCCACTTGGGACAGGCCATGACAGGTCTTCCCTTCACCTTTGAGCCTGCCTTTGTTCCTCAGGCCTTCCAGGACACCATTGACAAGAATGAAAAGCGGAGTGAGAGCTTCAAGACGGGACTTTACAGACTCGCCGTGAAGGCCCAGGACTTAAGTGTAATCTGCCCCCACCCCACCCCACCCCACTCCCCCACCCTTCCTCCTGTCACTGCCTCCCACTCTGAGGCTCTGGGTGAATCCTTTCACACCTCATGGAGCTCTGAGGAGCCAGGGGAGCCCCTATGCCTGAGGTGGGGAGGGTCAAGATGAGGAATGGGTAGCCTGGAACGAAGATGGGGGGCACGTGGGGAAAGAAGTCAGCGGGTTTTTGATGATGGCTGAATACAGGGCAGGACTGGGGAGAGCCCAGGCAATGTCAGTAGGGAGCACAGGCTGTGAGCTTCATCCAGCAGCCTCGATGGAGTCCCCCGTATAGATATGACTCCCAAGCCCTGGCTCCTTTGCCGTGGACACAGCTGCTGAGGTGATGGGGCCCTGTTCTCTTCTGTCCCCCACCCCACACAATACAAGACGGAGGAGCTGGGCCTGCGAGCCCCGCAGTGGGTGCGGGACAAGCTGGTGACCATGTGCATGCGCTGCAAGGAGCCGTTCAACGCTATCACACGCAGGAGGCACCACTGCCGGGCCTGTGGCTATGTGAGTGACCCCCTCTCCCTCTGCCTTCTTGCCAGGCCCAGCCCAGGGGGTACAGGCAGTCTTGCGCCCCATTGCCCAACACAGAGCAGCAGCTTGTTTGCAAGGGCTTTCTGAAGGGAAAAAAACACTTGTGGAGAGAGGTGAGCAGGGGCAAGGAGATCCCCTGTCTTCCATCCCAGGGGTTGGAGCTGCTCCAGCCATACTTGGACAAGAGTTTTGCTCCCTCAGGGCCAGATAAATCCTCTCC